TTTGTTAATATATACCTCTCTATAGTTATGGATCTAATTATGTATAAAAGAATGGCCTTTTCTCCTTATTGAAATTGTGTCTCTGAGGCAAAGCAGGCTATTGTGTGTTTTAGAGAGGGTTTGCATGTTGGACTTTGCTTGACCATTTTCATAGTATCAGCTGAGCCCGGGACGGTACAATGAATTTGTTAGGGAAAGAGGCATCCAGTTTTTGAGCTGCAGTAATATCAGACAATGGCGTTAACGATCTTTGTGACACAGTTGTTGTGAAATTGTTAAGTAACACCATGTGAACATGCTCTGAGAAGCTCTCAAGTGCTACAGAGATGTTGCTTTTAAGAAAGGTTGTTCTGATGGTGACATTTGGGTGGATAGGAAGATGGGAACAGTTGGGAATTTGTCATAGCTCCGTGCTATGCCTGCAATTGCAAGGTGGGGTAACTGAGAGGAAGGGACAGGTTCAAAGGCCATGGGAAGGAAAAACGGCAGGCTGGTGGCTGACCAAGGTAGAGAAAAATATCAGAAGCTTACTACTTGCTTATACATAAGTGACCATCACCATACATAGCCATTTAGGCTTCTGAATTTCCTGTAGTTAATAAAGATAAATTTATAAGCCAAAAACTTAGATGAGACTAATTTTAAATAGATATGAGTCTATTTCAGAAATCCTAGTGTATATTTCTTAATCAGTGTAGCTTTTGAAGTGTGTGTATTTGTCATACTTTAAATCCCAAATAATAGAACACTATTTAATACTCTATATTTCTGTTTCTACGTAACATTAAAGTTTAGAAGCAAGAAATTATAGAAAAGTGGCAGTGATGACCTTAGGGAGACAAAAAGTTGTTTTCTTAAAAAAGAGAAATGATGGTGATATAAATAAAAATATTGTTTATATCCACACAAATATAAGAAAATAAGATGTAAAGCTGAGCATGGGGGTGCATGCTCTATTTCTGAGGCTGAAGCAGGAGGATCACAAGTTTGAACCCAGCCTGGGCAACTTAATGAGACCTTGTTTCAAAATAAAAACTAAAGAAGGGCTGGGAATATAGCTCAGTATGAAGGCTCTGGGTTCAATCCTTCATAACACACACACACATACACACACACACACACACACACACACACAAGTATTGTGTTAACAGTATGGGAAAATAGATGTGTCTCCTGGAAATTAGCAGCCAACAGACCTACATATGTTGTTACCTGTGGTGTTGACTCAATTCCCATCAGTGTGATTCTCAGTTTTCTCATGTGTTAAGTAAAAATACTACTATTTGCTTGAAATGATGGTTTTGAGAATTTCATAAGGTAACAAACATAGTTTGGGTCCTGGAAAGTAAGAAGTACTCAATAATATTAGTTGACTCTGAACAGCAAATAGTCGACTAGTTGTTTTGTAAATGCATGATGATTATTTTTGAACTTATTTCGTTTAGTTTCTTTAGGCTGATAAAATGAATTGGCATTGTTTGACAACCTGTAAGCTAACTATAAAAAATATTAGATGTATTTTTACTAGGATACCGTGGGAGGGAAAACATCAAAATAAATGTTTCCGTATTATGTTTTGCTAATACTTAATTTAAAATAAACAATATACATGAAAATAACCTTAAGCCACATTAAGTTGCTTCAACTTATTTTTTAACAGTGTAATTTTCCATTTGTTGAAAGACACAGACTTTTAGGATAATTTATGTGCCTAGCTGTATTCCTTTAAATTTAATAAATTTCAAGTCATTAAGATAAAAAAGGAGACTATTACTGGACAAGGATAAAGGGAATAGGGGGATGGGAGGGGGTGTTTAAGGGAAGGAATGTTCAAAATACGTTATATGCATATGAAAATGCCACACTGAAACCCAGTATTTTGTAAAATTAATATGTGGTAATAAAAATATATTTTAAGAAGATTTTTTAAAAACTGTAGTAGCTAGTTGACTGAGGAGAGGATGTGGGCCGCTGAGGGAGATGGGGAGGTGGCGGGGAACGGATTGGAGGGCGGAGGGGACAGGGCGCCGAGTCTGAGGCAGACGTGGAGAAGCTGCGTGGACGAAGGGGCGGAGGAGTGGGCACGAGGTTAGGCTGTGGCTCACGGTCTGTGGACCACAGCAGGGGCAGCAGAGAACCGACCTGTGGTGGCCATAGACGCGCGCCGCACGAAGCCCAGGCTGTCCAAAGCAGGCGCTGGCATATGGCAGAAGAAAGAAGACGCCCCGATCACAGAACGGGAGCGTGAAACACCACAGCAGCTTGTGATGCAGAACTGGCTTTTCCTTCAGGGCACTGGACAGTGGGGAGGGTATGATGGGCGCCTCATGTTTCAGGTTCTGTCTGGAAGCGGACCCCAAGGGAGAGGAATGAGGTGTTGGGCCCTGTTATAGTCAGTAAAACCGCAACCTGGAGTCCTGATATTGGCTGTTGCTTGTGCCAGGGGGAGGGCCAAGGTGTAGGGACAGGTGGCTGTGCCCCTTCTTATAGCCCCACTATGCTGTTCTCCACAGGTGAGCTCCTCCCAGGGACTTTGGACTCCCACTTTCTGGCGACTTGAGCTGTGGTTTCAGCGTCCCGGCAACGGTAGCCGCTTATGTCCCAGCTCTGGCCTTGCCATGTGGATTCCGTCCTCTCTCCTCCTCGATGCTAAGCCAGCAAGCTGCGCTTCTTGCTGATGGCTAGCATCAATCCTTCCCCCTTTCATTGGGAGTTTGGCACTCAAGAGCCAGCTGGACCAGTTCCTGCCCAACCCGGCTTAGGCAACTGTAACAGGGCCTTGTTTAGTATAACCCTGCTGGTCCTGCTCTTGTATTTACCTTTCATTGATAATCAACCCTTAGATAAAGTCTCAGGGGAGGTGGTGTGACGTAAAGAAAAGTGCAGTAAAGGATGTGGGAATCGGGAAAGGCTGGGCTCCGGTACTGGCTTGACTGTACCTCTGTGTGTGACCTTGAGAGAATTACTTCACCTGGTGGATCCTTAGCTTCTTGCCTTTCTGTAAAACGAGATTGTAGAGATGATGAGACGCTATGTGAAAATACTGAGCCGGCCGAATGGCGCAGAGCAGGCTCTAAGGCCATGGTTGTTTTCATCTTCCTTTCTCCAGCTGGGGCATTATGAGCTCTGTCTTCACTGAGTTCCTCCTGTGCTGAAGGAAGAGGTAGCAATGGAAACTCTTAGGACTGAGGTTCTATAACTTTATGATCGGTGAGGCTCTCTGAGTCACTTCTGTGGTCTTTGTTACTGTCACGAGGGGGTGGGGGTGGAAGAAGAAGTCACATAGGCATAATTTTCTACTTCAAGAAATGCTGCTGTTTCTTGAAAAGGACTTGCATGAGAGATGCGTGTGTTTTTTTGTGGGCATCTTGGCTCCTTCCTTGATGATGGGAGAGAAAGACCATGGACCTTCCACTTAGGGGAGTGGGCTACTTCAAGGTCCTTAGTGGCAGAAGAGCTCTTGAGCAAAATCCAGAGCATTGGCAGTGTCTTTACAGCAGCATCTGTCCGTGAACAGGAACCGTTCCTGTGCCCTACACTGTTCTAGAAAATTTAGAAGTTCAAGAAACACCCAGGCTATGTCTGACTCACAGCCATCCTCACGCAAGGGTAGTTGCCAGCCATGCGTGGCATGCAGGGCTTTTCTTCCCACCCTGCTGCCCCACTCTCCCCTTCCACCTCCCTGATTGCTGATGGTGCTGCAGTATCTGGGTTGATCTGTGAACTGGGAGTGGCCTCATCTCTCCCCAGTGGCTGGGTATGCACGTGTGGTCAGCAGGGCCAGCCGGGACCTGCAGCCAGCTCCTCCAGCTTGGTGGAAAGCAGCGTCCCTAGGAGGTTTTAACATACACAGGTGCGGGGCCCTGGCCCAGACCACTTCAACCTGTGGGGTCAAAGCCTGAGTATTTGTTGGTTTTAAGAATCTCCCCAGATTCTATCCTGGTCTGGTGGTGCAGGCCTGTAATCCCAGCAGTCTGGGAGGCTGAAAAAAGAGGCTGTCAAGGTCAAACCCATCCTAGGCAATTTAGAGAGACTCTGTCTCAAAATAAAAAATAAACAAAGGGCTGGAGCTGGAGCTCAGTGTGAAGTCCTTGGGTTCAATCCCCAGCGTGTGTGGGGAATCTCCTCAGGTTCTATGGCATATTAGGGCAACTGTGGTTAATAACAACTAATTATATATTTCAAAATAGTTGGTAGAGAGGATTTTGGGTGTTCCCAGCACAAAGAACTGATCACTGTCTGAGGTAGTCATATGCCAGTTGTCCTGATCTGATCATTACACATTGTACACATGTATTGAATTGTCACATTGTACTTCTAAGTGTGTGTAATGATTATGTAGCAATTAAAAACAATTTGGAAAATTATCCCCAGGTGATTCACATAAACAGCCTTCTAGAATATATTCCCCCTTAAGAAAAAAAAAGTTTGTGCTTAGTTCCTCAAGGATCTGGGTTCCATTTGCAGCACTGAAATAGAGTAATAAAAATTCAGGGTATTCCCATCAACCTCTGTCTTTACTCCAGATCTGCTGAGATGCCTTCATCTTGGCAGGCCCTGTCATGTCCCCAGTATGCTGCCAATCTAGTAAGAAGAGAAATAAACCCGCAGAAAAATATACACCAGTATAATATCCAGGGCTCATTTTTGTCCTATTAGCCAGCTGGATGTTTTTGGTTTGTTTGTTTGTTTTCTGTGTGTTTTTCTTTTTTTTTTTTTTGCTCTAGTGAGGAGCACTAGGGACTTAACCCATGCTAAGGCATTAGGTTACTCCCCAGCCCTTTTAAAATTTTATTTTGAGATGGGGAGTCTCTTCCTAAGTTGCCGAGCCTGCCTTTGAAATTTTGATCCTCCTGTGTCAGTTTCCTGAGTGGCTGGGATTACAGCTGTGTGCCACCTCACCTAGCTAGCTGTCCTTAAACTTGGGCCGATTTGAGGGTCACTGGGGATCGTCATCAAATGCATATCTTCTGATCACGTTCCACTTGATTCTGATTCAGTGTTCTGCAGGTGAAGCTGGAGTGTTACTTTTGAAAACGAGCTCCCCAAGGGTTCTGGTGAGTACTGGACTAGAGAGAAAATTCTGAGCCTGGATGTCAGGGCAGGCTGCAGTTGGTGCAGAGGTTGCTCTGAAAGAGGATCCCGAGTGCTCCTTTATCTGGGTGAGCTCAGGGGAGGCAGTGCCTGTGGCTGCAGGCCCAGCTGTGACACTATGTCCCTCCAGGGTGCTTCTGATTCCTGGCTTTCCTGTCCTGACATCTGACATCCAGGCGTCACTTTAGGCCCACTAGCACCTCCTTCCTTGAGCAGGAAATGTCTGTCTCGGGCTGCCTCTGTGACACCCTGTCAACGAGCTGTCACCATTAGTCTTTTAGGCCTAATAATTGGAGTGGACACTGAGTGTCACTGTGGGTCAATGCTCAAGAATCCTTGATCTGTTTTCCCCTCTGTCATCCATTTCCCCAGTGGGGAGGGAAGTGGCTGGGAAGCAGTATTCTCAGACATTCCTCAAATTTTCCTGGCTTCTTATGATGGAGAAGGGCTACATTGGAGCTGAGGAAAGGATGTAGGTGCATCGAGGACCCTTGCTCCCCACCCCTGGGAAGCTGGGCCCTCGCCTCAGCTTTCTGAGCTGGAAGGAGGCTGGGGAGAAGGGTGGAGCAGCCTCCAGGGGCTTCGAGGGATGAAGGAGGGATGAAGTCGTTGAAATGTGATCAGCCCCATCTGTCATTATATGTGGGTCAGAGCCCACATGGTTCCCCCAGTCCCACTTCATCACTCATAACTGCAGATGGGGCCCTGGAGGCCTTTGGGCTGTGGTTGGGATGAGGAGAGTTACGCAAGAGTAGCCCTGAGCCTTGGCTTTCAAGTCGTGTAATTAGCCCTGTGGAGGGGGACAGGCGCTGCCATGCGCTGGGCTCTCACTGTGTATTTTCATGTAATTCTCTCAACCACCCTATGACACAGGGCTTATTATCTCTATTTTATAGGAAAAGAAATTCGCCTCCAGTCAGGGAATGTTAATGTCACAGCTAGAATTCCAACAGCTCAAGCCTTTAAAATTATACCATGCAGCTTCCAGGGCATCAGTGCGGAAACCAGGAGAACTAAGCTTTCTTTCAGGCTCTGCTGCCAATTTCATGACCTTGGACAAATCCCTTCCCTCACAAGTCACCTTCCTGGACTGCACAGTAGGGTGGGGACAGATGTCCAGACTCAGGCACAGGCTCCCAGCTCCCCATGTCCTGGAGCCCTTGGCCACAAGGCCAGGCCAATGTGGACCTGCCTGATAATCTGGGAACTGAGCAGAGCTGCGTCTGCTGAGCAGTTCACAGTCCCCTCCAGTGGGTGTCTGTCACTTATGACTTCTGAGAACCTGGAATACCCCTTTGCTACCTGTCTTTCTTTTGGAGTAACAAAGCCTGTCTTTGTCAACTTCATAGAGATTTCCTTTTAAAAAAAAAGTAGCTATGAAATGAAAAAAAGTGTGTAAACACAAGTAAAAGTGTAAACTGGATCACCTCCACTTTAAACGCTAATTTGGTTACTTCAAGGCAGCTTTCATTTCTTTATTTGCAGTGCTAGGGATGATGCCTGCTAGGCAAGTGCTGTACCATAGAACTACATCCCCAGGACATCAAAGACAGTTTTTAGATTTCCTACCTCACTTGAACAAGGAGCAGATGGAATCCTTTTATTGTTGTGTTACCCCTATCCGTTTTCTTATGAACAGGAAATTTCACATACTGTATTTGTTCCAGAGGTGTATGTTGGTTTAGATGACTGGGGCTAGGACTCTTCCCTACCTAAGACATTTCTTAGGACCCTCTCCTGGAATGATCAGTCATTACTCTATTAATCCTTAGGTCAGTTTATTAAATTTTCATGATCTAAAATTTGTCACTTTTTATTGTTTTGAGATAACCCTGGGTAGTGGGGGACTCACAGGTTTTTCTGGTGGACCACTGGCCACAGTTTTAGAGGTCACCAGGAACTGATTCTCAGGTTGATGGGGGAATGGGTTTTCCAAGTTATATACTGAAAATGTCACAGCTGTGATTTCTAACCTTGGCCTTTACCATGGTTTATTAATGTCCCTATGTCTCCATTATTTCATCCCTTACATGGAGAGATGAGAAAGCCAAGGGTATGCCAAGGTGAGAAATATTGTCAGACATGGTGCCTGTGAGCTCCTGGGGTTTTTTGGGGGGTGGTGGTGGTGCTGGGGATTGAACCCAGGGCCTTACGCATACAAGTTAAGAACTCTACCACTGAGCCACATCCCCAGCCCTCTCTGTTATTTTAATAGTGTATTTACTTAGTGTTTTTTAGTGCACAGACATTGTTTCATTTGGTGCTCGGACAGTCCTGTGACATAAGCTAACAGATATATTTGTTATTTCTGTACAGCGGTACCTTGGTTCATGAACTTGATACTTTCCATGATTCTGGTTGCAAACTGAGTTGGAAGAGAACCGAATCAAATTCAGTGGTTAGGTTCATTGTTGATCTTATGGGGAAATTTGATTTGGTTCTCATCCAGTTCGATTTGTGACCAAAATTGTGGAGAGAATTGAGTTTGTGAACTGAGGTACCACTGTATTTATTGTCTGAGTTTGTTAACTGACAGTTTGTTAACTAAGTTTCATAACTAACAGTTATGAAAAGAATTTTGAAATGGTATAAAACAGGATAAAACCATTGAAATCAGAGCAATTAGCAGAAAAAAGTTAACAGCTGGCACTTGTTTCGCTAACAAGTACTCTAACAAGTATTCTGTGTACCAAGGATAATTCCAAGGGCTCTTAAATGTATGAACTTACCCTTACAACTGAAATCCAAGGTTAGATGTTCCTAATTTGAAATCCAAAATCTTGAGTGTTGCAAAACTCAAAACTTTGGGACTGGGAATATGGCTCAGTGGCACAAGTGCCTGCTTGGCAAGTGCAAGGTCCTGGGTTTGATTCCCAGTATCAAAGGAAAGAAAAAAAAGAAAAACAAAACTCAAAACTTTATGAATGTTGCCATAAATTCTGCACTTGAGCTCATGAGAATTGGTCGCAGTCAAAATATAGGTGCACTAAAAATAATATATAAAATTATCTTCAGGCTGGGTATATAATGTGTATATGAAACATAAATGAAATTTTGTGTTTAGACTAGAGTCCTATCCCCAGCATTTCTCATTGTATATGTAAATATCCCAAAATTCAGAACAAAGTCCTGAAATCCCAAACCTTCCAGTCCCAAGCATCTCAGGGAAGGGATGCTCAACCTGTGTTGTCCCTGTTTCTACAGAAGGGAAAACTGAGGCTAAGGAACATGACAGTCAAATGGTGGAGCACACATTTTGACCACTGCCCTAGAATAACTCACTGTGATAGGGAAGGTGAGGGGTAGTGTTAACAATACAAGTTTCCATCAGGAAATCTGAATTATTGTCACTGGAATTGTAGTCCAGGAACTATTATCATCACTGTTTTACAGGTGAGAGGAAAGTGAGCGCCAAAGTAGATATGATTTGAATAAGGTTTCAAGACCAGAAGTGACATAAGCTGAATGCATGTCTTGGTCTTCTGTCCCAGTGCTGTTTTCATTACCTTGTGCAGCGTCCTTCTTAATGTGAACAACGTGTCTTTCAGAACCTGGCAGTGGGGGCTGGAGCTGTTGGATCTTTGCAGCTGACCTACATCTCAAAGGTAATGTTGGTCTGGCATCCTGGGAATCCATGTTCTCCAAGTAGCTAAATGAGGAAGTAAGTGGCATATCCTTGGGGTGTTAGCATTAGGGGATATTCCATGACATTACAGTGCTACCTTTCCCCACCCTCACTGCCCTTGGAGGATTTGCTGCTGATAGGTGGGTGCAGGAGTGGTTAGGTGGTTCTTGAAGGGTGGACCACTGTCTCTATATTGGTCAGCCTTCTGTACCTGTTCCAAATACCTGAGATCAACTTACATAGGGAAAGGTTTATTTTGGCTCACAGTTTTAGGGTTCTGTCCATGAGGGGTTGGCCCAGTTTCTCTTAGGCCCTGAGGTGGGCAGCACATCATGGTGGAAGTAGATAGCAGAATGAAACCACTCATCTCGTGACCCAGAAGTGAAAAAGCCAGAGAGGGAGAGAGAGGCTGAGGTTCCATGATGCCCTCCCTCCGTGTGCACCTCCCAGCCACCTGCCACTACACCCTAACTGCTAAAGGCTGCACCACTCCCAGTAGCCCCAAGTTGGGTACCCTGCCTGGAACAGGTCTGTGGGGGACATTTCACACCCAAACTATGGTAGTATATGACATGCTTCCCCAATAGGAAATGGTAGATGGTAATCGACCAGGGAGTAGGACTGGGATGTTGCAAACTTTTTGGTAACTGGTACAAAAAGGAACACAAATCCAGGAGCTGTAAAGGATTCTCCCAAAGGATCCAACTGCAGCAGCTCAGGGTTGTATCAGCCACCTGGATAGGATGCCTGCCAAGGAAAGGCTAAGAAAGCCCAGGGAATAGCTTCGTATGTGCCTGGACCGAATTCAGCAACCAGATAACTGCTGAGAGTCTGGCCAGCAGCTGATGGGCCCTGCCCTGGTCCAGTTTGCACTGATGGGGGGGAGCGCATTCCCTCTTCTTTGCCAGGCTTTGGGGTGGGGGCTGTTTAATGATGCCCACAGTAACTGCTGAATTCAGCTGCTTTTAGTAGCCCCTCCCTGGGACAGGCACCACTGCTGCTCAGCCATGCAGCAGTGATAAAAAGGCAAGGGAGTGAGCACCTCCCCAGAAAGAGGAACGCTTTGTACAGAGAGGAGAGCCAGGTGGCACCCAGCCAGCACTGCAGCTCAGGAAGAGCTGCTCTCCCCACGCAGCCCTCCCCGCAAGCATCTTGGGGGCCGCTGTGTCCTTGCCCACCTTCTGCCCTGTGGGCCCCCCAAGGGTCACAGAGCTGAGCAGGCCCTGTCCATCTGGTAACACACTTCAGGGGCCATGTGTTCATCCTCACCGCTGCTCAGGAGGGCGTCCTTAGGGGCCCCAGCTGCAGGAGGACTGGCCAGGCAACCTGAGCTGCAGACTGCGGGTAGAGCCTGGCAGCTACAGCCCGGTGCAAAGGCAGATGATAGTGGGCAGCATGGAGTGCAGGAGACAGAGAAGACATAGCCTCAGGGGAAGAGGGAAGGCTGCAGGGGCTGGCTGTGCTAGCACAGCTGTGGGCAATTTGTGCATGCCTTGTGGTAAGACTGTGGTCGCCTCCCCAGGCCAGGCCAGCCCAGCCTGAGGCCTGGGCTTGCCTACCTCCCGGTCCTGTCCTCATCGCGCTGTGAGCTCATTTCTCCAGAAAAAGGAATGAGAGAGCAGGGAGCAGACAGCCTGTAAAAAATGAACGCTGAAACTCTCCTGTTTGAGAGGGTTTGGAAAGACTTTGCGGGGAGGGAAGAGTGAATATAATCTCCTGCTGAATCATGATTTATAAATGCAGCTCAGATGAGGGTTTTTAGTATTTTCTGCTTTGGAGGCTGCCTCATTTAGAAAAGATGACCTGACTTTCGGCCCTTCCTGGGATGGGGCCTGTGTTTCTGCACGGGCCTTTTGCAATATCCACAGCTGCTGCTGGGTCAGGTTACAGCAAGCTGAGAGCCTTTAACTCCTACCTGACCCAAAGCCAAAAGGCAGGGGTTTTCCCAGCAAAGCGTTTAGCCCTGGTGCTGGTGTTCTGTTGTCGGCGGTCCCGTTGTCTCTCCCTCTCCCTCTCCCTCTCCCCATTTTTCTCTCCCAGTACTAGGGCTTGAACCCAAGGCCTTCACACTGAGCTGCATTCCCAGCCCTTTTTCACTTTTTTAGTTGGACTTGCTAAGTTGCCCAGGCTGGGCTCCAACTTTCAGTTCTCCTGCCTCAGCCTCTCAGTGTGGGGCTTACAGGTTTGAAATGCTCTGCCTGGCTCGGGATGTTTCTTGTTCCCCCATAGGTCTTCGCTCCCGTGGGAGGTGACTAGCCAGGGCCACATGGCCTCTCTGTTTGGATCCCATAGGTGTCTGCAGAGAGTCAGTGTTGGCAAGAGGGAGACCAGCATGTGGTTTCCTAGAGAGGCAAACCAGAGATGCCTATGCCAGGTCTGATGTCCCTCAGGACAGCCATTGCAGCAGAACCTCTTCCTGGGCCAACTACCAGGAATATCACTGAAGCTGGCAATTGGTGCCACCTACCCACCCTCCTTCCTTGCCTCATGGCCCTTTTCTCCCATTCCAGCCATCTGGGGTATTTATTAATTAGTGGTACTGGAGGTGGAACCCAAAACCTGTGCACTAAGCTGCATACCCAGTCCTACTAATTTTTTGAGAATTTTGACACGGGGTCTTGCTGAGTTGCCCAGGCTGGGCTTGAATTTCTGGTCCTCCTAGCTCAGCCTTCCAGAGTGTTGGGAGGACAGGCATGTGCCCGTATACTTGGCTTGCTCCCCTACTCTTACTGCATAAAGAGGCAAGGTGACCCCAGACACTGGGGCAGAGCCTGCAGTTCTCTTAAGACCTTGTTTGGCTGCTGCTTCTGCTGTCAGAGGAGCCCAGCTCTACTTCCGGCCAAGGGCTGGCAGGCAGGGCTGACCCCAGTGGTGCCCTGATACCGATGAGCTTGCTGCCTCTGTGGTCTGCATTTGATCTGATAAGAGCAGTTCCTGAGCGTCTGTTGTACTGTGCAGCAGCCCTGTCTGCGTCACTGGTGGGTGACCCATGCCTGTTCCCCTCGTCATATCCCCAGCTGTCTGTCCCTGTTGGTGTGTTGACAGGACGTGCCAGCCAACCACTGCTGTGCCGTGCCTCAGCTGTGGCCACCTCGGGGTGTGAAATGCTTGTGCTTGGCGCCCTCATTTGAGTCCCACTGCCAGGATCCTTACGGGTTAGCAGCCACGCTGCCGTGTGTGGGCCTCTGTTCTGCCGCCCTATCTGAGGACGCTGTGACCACCTGTCACAGTCACCCCTGGCCGGTGGGGTGGGCAGTGGGGGATCACAGCCCCCACTGGGGTGAGCAGGGCTTCAGGGAGAGGCCAAAGCTGTATCTCCATAAAAAATGAGAAAGAATGCTGTTCGGCCGTTCTCTGTGGGGCACAGCAACGGGTAGATGGACTTTCATTTTCTTCCCCTGCTGTTCTCTGACTCTAAGAAAGAGGAAAGTATTTTCACTAGGGAGCTGATGGGAGACACTGAGGGCCTTAACCCTTGCTACATAGCTAGTCAGGCCAGAGCGAGAGCTGACCTCATTAGTTTGCCAATGAGTTCTTTACCAAATTATCTTTCTGTGATAAACCGTGAGGCATTGAGGCATGTTGTAGATGTGCGTGTGTGCACCCATGTGTATCTCTCTATCCATAATGAGCACATGGTCAGTATTGTCACAGGACTGGCTACGAAGTTGTAGGCAGAGCGAACCGTTTCTAATCCAGGGAGGGCAAGCACATCAGCCAGCAGCACTCTCCGATCAGTGATAAATAGACATTTCTTAGAAAAGGGATGATTTTCTTAGTAAACCAGAGAGCATGTTTATGTGCCCAGCTTTTCAGTGCCACTCTAAAGCTGGATGAGAAGGGGCACCATGAGATGGGTGGGTGCTGGGGGCCAGGGTGGCCAGAGCAGCTCTGTGATGCTCAGGGTTATGCAGAAGCCACGCACAGGACAAGCAGGGGATGGGATTATGGCCAGGAGGATGTGTGGGATCACAGATGCTGAAGGAAAGACCAAGAAAACAAGTCACTACAGATTGGCATGTGAGACCAAACAGGGTCAAGGTGTCCACTGTGGGCCTTACTAAAACCCCAGAAAACAAGATGGCATGGAGCTAGGACTGTGACCACCGGGTGCCAGCGTCCTGCCTGTGCAGATGTGGTGGAATTTGTGTAGTTTGAATCTGAACTCAGGATCTGTGAGCTTGCCTTTACTTACATCTTTACGTTTTGTATAGGCCTCACATCATGGTAAACATACCAAAGTGCACTAGCTTCTCTTGTGAAGTAGAACAGCTTGGACATACAAATTCATGCATACTCCCATCTCCCGCCATGTGTGTCCTTTGCCACTTCAGGATGTGGGCCCTCAGCTTTATACCTCCAGAACCCTGAGCCAGAATAAACCTCTCTGTGCTATATGAAAAAAACACATCTAATTGTTCACCTGTAGAGTACTTGAAAGGGTGCTCTTTAGGTGAGACTGATTGGCTGTGAGCAGCGCACCTGGTTTATCCCCAGTCTCTAGGCAGTCGTCTTGCACACACACAGGAATTCTTGTGAACTAAGCTGTCTGCTACAAATTATTTTCAAATATAATGAAAATGTTTTGAATGCTTAATGAAAACATTAGTGAAGCTGATTTAATGTGACATCTTGTATGCATTTGGTTAAATAGTTGTCAGTAAGGCATAATGTTACGGAAACATTTATTTAAATATTTGTTAACATTGGATGTTCCCCCTCTGTTCTGTATGTTAGAAGCCAGGCATTTTTTTTTTTCAGGTCTCACACATTTTTGCTCATGGGCTGTCAGCATTTTGTTCATAGTTCCTGGGGTGGCACTGCTGTATTCTTGTGTGGAGTGGGTTTGTTAAAGAAATGCATTATCAGAAGCTGTGCATTATCAGAAGCTGCGAACTGTCCCTCCCTGAATGACTAGATTCTGTAGGACAGGGTGGGTAAGTGCCTTAGCTACATACTCACATCAACCCTGGAAGAACATGATATCATTATCCCTTATTTGGTAGAACATGAAATAGAGGTCACATACCTGTGGGTTGAGACTGTACTGCCTGTCTTTTTGATTTTTTATAGGTTGCTACCTCAGTTCCTGTTTGAGTAATTGGGCAGTAATAATTTTGGTTAAGGAATCTGGGAAGGTCTATAAGAAAAAACTTAAGATCAAGAGCAAGAACCTAGATAACATCTGCCTCCTGCGGTAGTCATTATTAGACCCCAGCAACAGTGAGCTATGAAGAGATTTTTGTTTTGCTTTTTTTTGTGGTACTGGGGATTAAACGCAGGGCCTTGGCACTGAACTATGTCTCCAGCCTTTTATTATTTTTTTAATTTTTTAATTTTTTTTTTGAGATGGTCTCACTATGCAGTTCAGATTGGCCTTGAGCTGACTTTGCAGCCCAGGCTGGTCTCGAACTCACAATGATCCTCCTGCCTCAGCCTCCTGAGTGCTGGGATTACAGGCATACGCCACCATGCCCAGATCTCCAGCCTTTTAAAATTTTTAAATTTTGAGACAGGGTCTCACACAGTTGCCCAGGCTGGGCTTGAACTTGCCATCCTCTTGCCCCAGCCTCCTAATGTGCTGGGATTACAGGTGTGCAGTACTGCACCTGGCAAAGGAACATTAATTTTTGCCTGGGAAGGGGATTGAAGGAATAGTATCCAGGGGAGGATGATGACAGTATGTGGATAGGTCCCTGGAGCTCCTAAGAGCTCCTAGGTATAGGGATGGAGAGCTGCTCCTGAAATTCAGCCAATTCAAGGACAGCCACTGAATCCTTGTGGGCATAGAATGGAGTAAGAGCTGTTTGAACCAGAACAATGTGGGCTCGTATATGCAGGTTCTTGGGAATGTACATGCAAGAGGGAAAACTGCAAAAACAAGGTGAGCTAGAGCCACGGGAGCCATGAAAAGACTTCTACTGTCTCGGGGTCATGCCCAAAATAACTAGGGGGCTCTCTGTCATGGGTCCTTCTCTGGGCAGGGGAAGTGCTCATTCACATGGTCACAGTAGCTCTCAAGGGAGCTGCTCAGTGTCCAAACACATCCAGTGGCCGCTGTGTCCTCTTGCTGAGTGCTGCAGTTGGAATCTAAGCATTTGTAGTGACCCCACCCACAGTTTGGAGATGTTCAAGGAAGAGAGAGTTGGCAATGTGAATGGGACCAGACCAGGGCCTGTGGGCCAAAGAGAATCTTGTCAGAATCTCTTGGTGACTTTTCACAAAGACAAACATTAACCCAGACATTGAGACAGTGGATATTCCTTCGATGTGGGTATTCTGTCAGGGAGGGGTGCACAAAAGGCTTCTAAGACAGGGTGAAAATGCCTATTTCTTAATTGAAGTAAAAGTGTAGGATTCTCCATTGTTATTCCTTAAAATGTAAAAACACGACTAATAAGTATGTATGTTTGATGTACTTTTGGTGTATGAAAAATTTCACAGTGAAAAGTTTTTAGTGCCAGCAGAAACACATTCATGTTCCCTTCCTTTCTTTCTTTTTCTTTCTTTCTTTCTTTCTTTCTTTCTTTCTATTTTATGTAGGTGAGCGTCGCTACCCCAAAGCAGAAACCAAAAACTCCATTTTGCTTTGGTAAGTATAGAACTGGGATGGCTTCACACATACTCAGGTAGCAACTTCCTTCTTTGAACAGAGGAAGTCCTGTGATCATGTGTGTGTGTGTGTGTGTGTGTGTGTATGTGTGTGTGTGAGAAGATGTAAATCATACGTCATTATACTGCCTCCCCCTCTTCTTGCTGTGAAGATTCTTCCCAGCATAAGGATAGATGCACAAGGACTAGTAATGTTTCCCTTTTCTTGATACCACAGGGAGGGTGCAAAAAATCTATAGAAGTTTCTGGGAACCCTCATTTTAGAACTGAGGAATGGCTGGTTATGGTGGCACATGCCTGGAATCCCAGTACTCTGGGAGGCCGAAGCAGGAATATTGCAAGTTTGAGTCTAGAGTGGGCAACTTAGCGATGTTAGTGAGACCCTGTGTTCAGTCCCCAGTACTACAAAACAAACAAAACCCAGTAAATGATGTGGTAGGAAAGGTGGACACTTAGGATAGGGGGTGGCAGGGTCAGGAAGGGCCAGTAGAAGAGAAGGAGTAGGTGATGGCGAGTCTCATTGTTGCTGAATAGATAGTGTCAGGGGATGACTAGGAAGCAGAGCCAGTTAGTGGAGGCCTCTGGTCGCTGAATTGCTAGTGAATCTGATGCGTTAGTTATTGAACTGTTGTTGGAGCCCACTGTGTGTGTGGAGTGGTACTCAACGCCATGACAGATGCTGCCACATAGTTTCTGTGTGTGTCACGAGAGCAGGGCTGCTCCTCTGCTGTGGTGTTAGAGCACCCTTGGTGCTTAGAATAGCTCCTGGCACATAGTGGGCACTCAGTAAGTATTTGTTGAATGAACAAATGAAGCTAATGGATTCTGTGTCTACCCCTTCTACTTTAAGTCCAATTCTTCAGACTTTTGCTTGTAGAATGCAGGAGCCCCTTGCGCTCCCCTTCCTCAGCTTTGGATTGGTTCAAACTTCTTTGGTGCTGTCATTCTCCCATTTCTTTCAAGTACTGCTAAGCTCCAAACTGATTCTCAGATTTTCTGATCAGCAGATGTAAACATATCTATCATAATAGTAAACCTAGAAGTAAACTGTTGACTGAATGGAATGCTCAGAGCAAAGGACTGATTGCAAATAAGGCCAAGGTCACAGATTTGGTCTCAGGCAAGCTTTGTTCCATTTCCCAGCCACCAACAAGGTTTGTAACCCAAGCTGGTCTGCCCGTGAAAAATCAAAGTACTAGGTCCAAAATTACATATGTGTCATCACAACGGTAAATCTGTTAGCACTGCTAGGAAGTGGTTCGTGGGGGCGTCCTGCTGATGGCAGAGCAGACGTCACAGCTGCTGTTCCTGTCAGGTTGTGTTCTTGTGGCCAGAGGGATAACCTTAGTTTTAAAGATGGGAGAAAGAACAGGCAGTTGTGTGGCCTGCTGCTTCTTAAATCACCATGCAGAGGACAACATTCTAAGGGATCTCTTGACCTGCTTAGTGGCCATTACCCATCTTGGCACTCAGACACCTTAGCTTTGTGGGTCTTGTTGTGTCACGTATTTTCTGATGTGGGAATTTCTCGCTCCTCTGTCTTTACAGTTATCAATGCCCTGTCGCAGAGATATTTTCTTCAAGCCAATGACCAGAAGGACCTGAAGGACTGGGTTGAAGCCCTGAACCACGCCAGCAAGATCACTGTACGTGTGTGGTTTCTTCTCCCTTTGGATGTAAAAGTGTCCATTCCCCACTGTGGCCTGCCTGGCCACAGATGGCAGCCTGGCCTTTCCCAGGCTCCCTGGCCAGCCTCAGTTCTCCCAGCCTCTTGTCCTTGGCTGATCAACCACAAGTCGACCCAAGAGCTTGAGTTTGACTCAGGCGCAAGGGGAAGTCTATGGGGTGTCCCCTTTGAGCTTCCTGGGAGGGGCTCCTAGTCGGTCATGGCCAGGGTGATGCAGAGTGTAGATTGCTGACTAAGAGAACAGAGTAAGGGAAAAGGATATGAGAATATTTTTCCTGGCTTATGAGATACTTTCCCTACTTTAAAAGTCACCTGGAAGATTAGGCTGGGCCATCCACCAGTCTGTCTTGGAAAAGCCTTCCATTTAAAAGCCTTGTGAAACTTCATGGACTGTTCTGCGTATTTTCATTGTCCTTGATTTGGCTAATGAAAGGTCATTTTCTTCTTCCTTAGAAATAGAGAAAAGGAGAAGGGTGAAAAGGAAGGAAAAGGAAAATTGTGTTAGTCAGCTTTCCATCAATCACTATGGAAAAAGCCCCCACCTAATCAACTTATAAGGAGGAAGGTTGACTTGGGCTTATAGTTTCAGAGGTTTTAGTCCATGGGTGCTTGGCCTGTTGCTCTGGGCCTGTGGCATGGCAGCATATCATGGCAGGAGTATGTGGTGGAGAGCTGTTCACCTCATGGTAGCTGGGAAGCAAAGAGAAACAGGATGGGGCAGGGTCCCAGTATCCCCTTCAAGGGCATGCTCCTGTGACCTAACCTCCACCTGCTGTTTTACACTTCTTAAAGGTTCCATCATGCTCCAACACCACCACGGGCCAGTGACCAAATCTTTAACACACGGCCTTTGGGGGACACTTACCAACCCAAGCAAAAGCTGTATGCTTTAGGGGAAAAAAACCTAAACCTTTAACCAGCAAGTCAGGGAGGCTCTTGACTTAGAAACCTTGGCTCATTTGCTCAGAGTTTGAATTTGTGTATTGTCTAGTCAGAAGTGCTTACATTTACTGACTTCCAGTAATGCCTATGTCCCAGGGCAGAGTAAGATTGCTGTGAATAAATTAATAGATGAAGTCTGTACATCCATCTAATATCAGTGTTGCTAGAGCCAGCTAGAGTGCAGTTTAGTCGGGTAAGCAGGTTAGCAGGTTAGCTTCTCACTCACATAAACCTTGGCAAACCTGTGAAGAAGGAGTGAGTTGGGCAGGTGTGGAAGGCTCCTGCTAACTCCTACACTCTGGGTGTTAGTCTGTGTTCAGGGTTCTGGAGTGCTGACTTAGTGAATGTTTTCTTCTCTCATGTTGGGGAGATTTTGCATCTTCTAGGATTTGGGATTTCCTTCAGTGACTAATATGTACTCCTTTTATATATGTGTGGATATGGTACTGGGGGTGGAACCCAGGGCCATGTGAATATTGCACAAGTGGTCTACCCTGGAGCTGCACCCTAGCCTTTTTAAAGTTGTATTTTGAGTCATGGTCTTACTAATTTATGCCCATACTGGCCTCAAACTTGTGATCTTCCTGTCTCAGCCTCCCACATAGCTGGAATTACATATGAGCACCACCACACCTGGCTAGTTTCCTCCTGGGTTCTGGCCTCTTCTTGCTAGTAAACTGTGCTGGACAGCCTGCAAGGCAGCATGCAGGTTCTTTCTCTCCTCCCTCTGTGTCCCTCCCTTCTGTGTTTTCTTGGTGCTAGGGATTCTGGCTAGGGCCTTGTACGTGCTAAGCATGGGCTGTACCGCTGCGCTATACCCCGAGTCCCTTTATTTAAAAGTCTTTATTTTGGTGCGAGAGACTGAACTTGGGGCTTTGAATATGCTAGGCATGTGCTGTACCATGGAGCTGCTCCCCCCGGTACTTGTCTTTCTATTGTGCTTTGAATGTGGAGATGCTCTAACTATCTGGTTTTTCCTGCCTCTTCTCTGGCTTCACAGAGCAGCGGCTGTAGGATGTGGGAGTGGGAGGGGACCTGCTGAGGCCCCAAGGTTGGAAGATGAAAGGGCCTGCTGAGTGTCAGTGCCTCCGCCAGTTGTGAGTCACAGTGTCTCCGGTGTCCTCTTTATTTCCTGGTTAAGGAATCAGCTTTCCATAGCCTGGATTCTGTATCTATAGATTTAACCCACTGTGGATTGAAAGCATTTGAAACAATTGTCTGCATGGAGCATAGACATTTTTCTTGTCCTTATTCCATAAATAATACGGTACAACAGCTGTTTCGGTGGCATTTACATTGTACCAGGTATTATAAGCCATTGGAAGATGTCAAGAGTCTGTAGGAGGTGTGCAGGTTCTGTGCAGCTCCTCCTCCACTTGACACGCATGGAGAATTGGGAATCGCAGATGTTGGTACCCTAGGGGTGTCTTGGAACAGGCCTCTGCTGGTACTGCTGGGTGACCATGGGCCCCTCCTCTCCCTCCTCCCACCAGAGGTCCTATGCCACACAGAAGGAGGGAGGGGAGGGTGCAGTGTTTCCTCCTAATCTTTGTGTGTCCCACAAGGGTTTTTCTTTCTCCTCTTCCTTCCTTCCTTCCTCCCCTCTCGCTCCTTTCTTCTCTCCTCTTCCCTTCCTTTCTTCCTCCCTTCCCTTCATTCACTTTTCCCTTCTCCTTCCTCCTCTCTCTTTCCTCTCTCTCCTTCCTTCTTTTTTTCTTTTCCTTTTTGGATACTGGGGATTGAATTTAGGCCTTTACACTGAGACAAGATCTTGCTGAGTTGCCAAGTTGGGCTTGAATTTCTCATCCTCCTATCTCAGCCTCCTAGGATGACAGCTCTGCACTACCGTGCCTCCTTGCTCGTCTTTCTACAGAGTTCCTTTTTGTGTGTCCTGCCCCACAGAGGCTAGGGTGAGTGGACAACTTTAGGGTTGTGATACCAGGTGATGAAGCACATATTTAAGACACCATATCTGCGAGTCAGGCACATTGGAGCAGGCAGAGATGAGAGAGGGAACAGGTCATGGAATAAACAAAACTTCCACACGTGATGTGTCGCTCCTCACCCAGCACTCTTAGGGACAGGGTATTTTACAGCCACCTTTTAGCAAGCACATGGAGCTCAGAGTCCTGCTCGGGATAGAGTTGGGATTCTAACCCAGGTCCCCTGACTTCTGGGGAGTTTATGATTTATAAAAATTTTAAAATAAACAGCTGTAAAATGTTAGATCACACATGACTTTTATGTGTGTGGCTTCATTTTAGCCTTGTGTAAACCTCAGGTAGGAGGGGCAAGGGTTATTATCCCTGTTTATATAAGTAGGGAAATAGAAATACCTAGAGATTAAAGCACTTGCCCAAGGTCACAGAGCTAGGACACATCCAGTTTTTCTGCCCACAGAGTACCCTTCATTTTTTAAAAATGTATTTTCATTAGTGTGTATTACTTTCACAAAATACTGTGTTTTGATATTGAGAAAAGGGCTCACTTAAGTTGTCCAGTTGGGTTTGAGCTTGGGATTCTCCTGCCTCAGCCTCCCACATTGAATCTAGTTCCCATTCCCCTCCTTTACACCCCTCTTTCCTTTTTATTCCCTTCCTCTTGTCTGATAATAATTTCCCTCCTACTTTCATGTCACCATCTTTAGATTCCACATACAGTCTGCCTTGGTCCACTCGACTGCCTTGATTCACAGAATTTGATGCTCAGCACATTTTGATGTGAGAGCTTTGTCTCGGTACTTGTTGTTTGGCACTTTGTGTGCACGCTAAAACTTTGGTGGTTTTCATCATTCTTGCTGCTTGTCCTGGCTCCTGCAACCGGTTAATGATGGGTCCTCGGGTATCACTGTACTAGGGAAACAAGTGATACTTGTCTTTCTGACCTGGCTCACAAGTGTTCTGCCCTAACACAGTGTTTTCTAGTTCCACCTGTTTTTCTGCAAATGACATGATTTTACTCTTCTTTATAGCTGACTAGTACTCCATTGTGTATATGTACCCATGTTCTGTATCCATTCATCCATGAGTGCGAGCTTGGGCTGGTCCCATGTGTTGGCCTTTGGCAATTGTGCATATGCAGGTATACTGTGGCATTCTGTCTCTCATCCTTTTGGTTTTGTACTAAGGAGTGGTATGGCTGGGTCATACGGTAGTGATATTTTTAGTTTTTTGAGAAACCTCCAGACTGATTTCCATAGTGACTGTACTAATTTACATTTCTACTAGCAGTGTACAGGATTCGTTTTTCTTCCCATTCTCGCCTGTGTTTGTTTTTGCATTCTTGGTGAGATTGCTGTTCTGACCGAAGTGAGATGACATCACAGTGCAGTCTTGGTTTGCACTGCATTTCCCTAGGCACTGTAGTTGTTGGACATTTTTTTTCTATAGTTATTGGCCATTTTTACTATGAATTTTGGAAGGTATGTTCAATTCATTTGCTCCATTTTTTGATTGGGCTATTTGGTGGTCATTTGGGGTTTTTTTTGGTGGTAAGGATTTTGAGTTCCTTATATTTTCTAGATATTAACCCTCTGTCAGAAGAGTAGCTGGCTAGATTTCCTCCCTTTCTGTACTCTGCCTCCTCACTCTATTGGTTGTTTCTCTTGCAGTGAAGAAACTATTTAGTTTTATGTCATCCCATTTGTTGAATCTTGGTGTTATTTCCTGTGCTGTTGGAGTCCTATTCAGGAAATTTTTGCCCTGTGCCTATGACTTATGTTTTCTGCTAGCAGTTTCAAAGTTTCAGGTCTTATACATGGTTTTGATCCATTTTGAATTGATTTTTGTGCAGCATGAGAAAGGGCTGTAGTTTTAGTCTTCTACATGTGAATATCCAATTTTACCTGCATCATTTGTTAATGAGGCTGTTTTTCTTCAACATACTTTCTTGGTTCTTTTGTCAAGAACCAAGAACTGTAGTTGTACATGTTTGTTTCTGAGTTCTCTATTCTGCTTCGCTGTCTATTTTTGCTTTGGTACTGTGCTGTTTTGTTACTATGGCTTTGTAGAATAATTTGAAAGTAGATATTGTGATGCCTCCCTCCTTGCTCTTTTTTGCTCTGAAATGCTTTGGCTACTCTGCATCTTTTGTTTCTGTATGAATTTCGGGGTTGTCTTTTCTAGTTCTGTGAAAAATATCATTGGAATTTTGTTGGAGATTGTGTTAAATCTGTAGATCACTTTTAATAATGCGGCCATTTTAAAAGTGTTAATTCTCCCAATGCATAAACATGAACGTTCTTTCCATCTTCTAGTGTCTTCAGTTTCTTTCTTTAGTGTTATGTAGTTTTCATTGTGGAGGTCTTCCACCTCTTTGGATAGGTTGATCTCTATCCAAAGGGATAGGGATTGTTTGTTTGTTTATTTGTGAATAAATTATTTTCCTGATTTCTTTCTCATCAGGTTCATTACTGGTATATGAACAAGCTATTGGTTTTTTAATACTGATTTTATATCTCATGCTGTTCATTTTATGGTAAGGTCATCAAACCCCTATGATTGAGGAAAATATTTAACATTTAATATTTAAAGAAATAAGTGGCTTCTCTTAGAATAATAGTGACCCTGTATTAGTTTTCTAGGCTGCTGTAACAACCTGGATGACTTAAAACCATGTAGATATGTCTCGGTTCCAGAGGCTGAACTTAGAAGTCAGGGTGTCAGGAGGGCTGCACTCCCTCTAGACTAAGGGACAATCCTTCCTTCCCTTCCTGGTTTCTGGGGACTTCCAGCAGTCCTGATGTGCCTTGGCTCATAGCTAAGTCACTCCGTGTCTGCCTGTGTGTGCCTGTCCTTCCTCTGTGTGTCTATGTGCCTCTCCTCTTCTTACAAAGTCATGACTCATTGGACGTAGGGCCCATCCTAAGACAGTATGACCTCATCTTTCACTTCATTACTTCTTTCTTTTTTCTATCTGTCTGTCTGTCTTTTGAGACAGGGTTTTACTATGCTGTTCAGGCTGGCCTTGAACTCACTTTATAGCCCAGGCTGGCCTTGAACTTTCAGTGATCCTCCTGCCTCAGCCTTCTTAGTGCTGGGATTACAGGTATGTGCCACCAGGCCCAGCTACATCATTGCATTCTGACCCTACTTTGAAGTAGGAGTACTTTCTGAGGTAGACAGTTTATTCAATTCACTTCATTTCACAATAAAGTTGAAAACTGAGTGAGTTAAAGCATAGACTTCCATCAAAGTTGGGTCATTCTTTGTAGTAGCCTAATTGTGCATGATGTGAAGAAAGAGGAGTCCTTGCAAATTGCACTCCACATTGCAGATGAAATCCATGGATCTACCCTGTCAGGGGACACTCCGCAGATGGATGGAGGAGGGCACACGTTGGGTTAGACCTCTGGTTTAGAAATGACCAAAAGGACAAGCTTATTTTTAAGCTATGTAGCTCAGGTGTTGTAGTTGTTTGTTTTTACTGGCTGATTTGAGGACTTAGAAAATGGAAAACCTTATACAAATTGAGCATTTCCTATCTGAAATGCTTGGGACCAGAAGTGTTTTGATTTCACATTTTCAGGGGTTTTGGAATATTTACATATACTGTACATAATGAGAAACCTTGGGGATGGGATCCAAACATAAACATAAATTCACTAGTCTTTTATTTACACCTGTGTACACTCCCTATTGGTAGTTCTATGCAGTGTTTTTAGTGTGCCTGCATCTTCACTGCAGCCTGTCACACAAGCCTGTGCTGCATGGTCCCCCAACCTCTGCCCATGTGGGGATCATTGAACCCGGGGTCTCATTGTGCTTGGGCTCCACTCTCAGCCCTTCCATAGCATTTTAATCTGTTCTGCTTGGCCAGTGGGCTATCTCCCATCTTTACATTCCTGCGGTTTCACCATCTGTTCCTCTGGAGACCTCTGCTGACCACTCCATTGCTAGTAGCTCCCCTTCTGCTCCCTGCTGCCATTCGCACTGACCTTTCCATGGAAGGCCCTGTCTTTTATAGATGTTTGGATTGTTTGTACTGCTAGCATTTTTGGGGGGGGGTGGTGTCAGTCTCACCTGCTAGTGTGTAAATGCCCCGGGGGCAGCATTCTTGTCGGTTTTATTTGATGTTTAATCTTCGTCTTCTGACCAGGAAAGGGCTGGCTCATGGTATAGGTACTCAGTAAATTTGTGGTGTAAGTGCGTTTGTGTGTGTGTGTGTGTGTGTGTGTGTGTGTGTGTGTGTGTGTGTGTATGCATGCAGGGGCATTGGTGGCCGAGTGCCTCATATTCAAATATGGATTGATGGGAGGGCTGATATATTAGCTACTTTCTCATCACTGGAACAAAATGCCCAATGCCTGCAACTTGAAGAGAGGTTTATTTTGGCTCATGGTTCCAGTGGATCCAGCTCTTGGTTGACAGACTCCAAGGCAGAAATGGCACAGCAAAACAGCATGGCAGAGCAAAGCTGCTCACCGCACGGCAGCCAGGAAGCAGAGAGAGAGAGGGAGGAGCTGGGACAAGAATACCCCGTTCCAGGTCATGAGGTCATGCCTCCAGTCATGCCTCGATGCCTTCTGACCAGGGCCCACCTCCAGATGTGACCCTTTGAGGGGGGATTTTAGATTTAAACCATAACAGCTGGGGAGGAGAGAGGACTCTTACTATAGTTTGGGACATGAGCTTTTTTTCCTACCTGCATCCTGCCTTTGGGTCCCTACTTTTCCTAAGCCTTCTTGATTGACCATACTACCGTTCCTCCTAGGTACCCAAAGCTGGGAGCCTACCCCTGAGTACCGAAGTTCTGAAAAGCCTAACAGCCCCTCCAGCCCTGGAGAAGAAGCCACAGGTGGCCTACAAGACAGAGATCATCGGAGGGGTGGTGGTGCACACACCCATCAGCCAGGTGCTGGGGCCTGGCTGGACTGCGGGAGATGGGGAGGGTATGAAGTGCAGTGGTGTGTGTGCCAGTGGTGTGCACAGGGTCTGTGTCAAGAAAGAGATAGATGGGAGTTGGGGGTGGGGGACTAGTTAAGAATAAGTGACCAGAAAAATACAGTGGGGATAGGTGTAATGGCTGTGCAGAACTTGAGGCCACTGCATTTTGAAACTCTGTGGTCTGGGGCTGGGGATTTAGCTCAGCGGCACAGCTCCTGCCTGGCAAGTGCAAGGTCGTGAGTTTGATTCCCAGTACCGGAAAAAACAAACAAACAAACAAACAAAATAGCCTGGATTGATATTTTCTTTTTTGGGCTGGGGATTTAGCTCAGCGGCACAGCGCCTGCCTGGCAAGCAGGAGGTCATGAGTTCAATTCCCAGTACTGGAAAAAAAAAAACACAAAAAAACAAAAAACAATTTTAGGCCAGGCGTGGGGGTGCATGCCTGTAATCCCAGCACTTGGGAGGCTGAGGCAGGAGGATCGTTGCAAGTTCGAGACCAGCCTGGGCTACAAAGTGAGCTGAAGGCCAGCCTGAACTGCATAGTGAGACCTTGTCTCAAAAAAAAGAAACTGTGTTGTCTGTAGGCTTCTGCACAAGGCCCAGGAGATGACTCAGGGAAAGTGAGGCATAGATGGGAAAGGAGGCTAGAAACAAGCCTACTGCCCTTCTTCCTATTCCTTCCCATTGCCCTTTCTGGTTTGTATTCTGTCTTTCCCTTTCACCTGAGTCTGTCCAACTTCCTTGAGTCTTATTGTCATACCCTAGTACACTGTTGTTTTGAAACTTGGAATTTGTTGTTCAGTACATTTTTGATGAGAAAATTTTGTTCTGGTATTCATGGTTTGGTTGATACTCAGTGTATACGCTAGAACTTCTTGGTGTCCATTGCCCCATGACTCTATACCAAGAGCAAAGTCAATCTTTCTCCTTCCTTTTCTTTCTTTCTCTGCCTCTCTTGTTCCTCCTCTTTCCTTTCTTCCCTTCCTCCCTTCCCCCTTCCTTCTTTCATTTCTTCCCAGGGCCTTGCTCATGCTAGACAGTCACCTTACCACTGAACTATCCCCTCAGCCTTTTAAAACTTTATTTGGGGACAGGGTCTTGATGAGTTGCATCGGCTGGCCTTGAACCTGTGATCCTCCCACCTCAGCCTCCTGAGTAGCTGAGACTATGGATGTGTGCCATCATGCCTGTCTTTTTAGTGTTTCCGGACCTTTCCAGATCTTAAGAGATCTGGCCAGAGGGCAGGGAGGGAGTGTGGCTGTAGAGAGGAGTGATCCAGATGCTAATTCTGACACTGTTTCCTTGTAGAACGGTGGGGATGGGCAGGAAGGGAGTGAGCCAGGGTCTCACGCCATCCTGCGAAGGTCTCAGAGTTACATCCCTACGTCAGGCTGCCGTACTTCCACTGGCACCCCCCTCATCAAGAGTGGCTACTGTGTGAAACAAGGGAATGTGGTGAGTGTCAGCATAGTGGCTCGACTGGGTTCTGGTGACTCTTTGGCGACAGTGGGTATAGACATAGCAGAAGGGAGAACATGAAAAGAGGAGCTACATTCCTCTGTGCTGGCCACTCCTTAAACCAGTGGGATTTGGAGAGCAACCATGAGTCCCACATGGCAGAGGTGTTGTCCTGATGTGGAAAAGCCTTGGCTCCTGCAGGATGTGGGAGCCTGGCTTCCATGGGGCCTGGGGCCTGGGTATTTTGTGTCAGAACATTCTCTGCAATGTGGGAACCTCTCCCTAACATTCAGCTCTCTAATTTTTCATGTCAGCGGAAGAGCTGGAAACGTCGCTTCTTTGCACTCGATGACTTTACCATCTGCTACTTCAAGTGTGAGCAGGTTAGTAGTAAGGTTGGGGCTTTCCTGTGGGTCATGGAAGAGAAGTGGTACATGAGCGCTCACCCATGGGACACACAGACTTTGAAGGCACTCTCTCTGTCCATCTGTGTGTGCCTCTTTAAGTGATATTAAAATACGCTTCACGGCCTCCTATCCTCTGTGCAGTGAGCAGCTGTGTGATCAGAGCCTTAGAACATTTTCTTTTTAGACTTTTTTCCTTAATGGTTGTTTTGAGGCCAGGTTGCTTGTCCACCTGGGCTTTGCCAGCCATCTTTAAGAGGTGCCATTGGTCAGCAGGTTGGTAAGTGGATCGTCTGAGCCCCCTCACTTATCTGTCCATTTTTCTCACCAGGACCGAGAACCACTGCGCACTATATTTCTCAAGGATGTTCTCAAGACCCATGAGTGTCTGGTCAAATCTGGGTAATTGTCTCTGCTTATTCTTTTCCCATCAAAATCTCCATTTGTCTGCTTAAATTTTCATGAACTACACATCTCAGGCTCTTCTTCCCTGTCTTCCTCCTTCAGAAAGGGAAGGAACCTAATGTCCTGTGACTGCCTCATTGCCTCCAAGCTGACTTAGGAGTGAAGTCACACCGAGCAGACTTACATCTTCTTGTACCTTACTCTTGCTTCTCAAGAGATGAGCCTTTGAAATAGTTTTCATTATTTTAAATAAGTAATGAAGAGAGCAAGCTCAGATGCTTTTCAGGTGTTAGAATTAGTCTGCAGGAGGAAGGGCTGTACCTTGGGTCATAATTTAAGCACTTCTAGGCAGGTCGCTGCTTCTGGTGCCTCTTTCATGAACTTCTTTGCCTTTCCTCTCCTCCTTTTGCCTTCATGTCTCATTAGCACACAGTGATTTGCAATATACCTGTGTTACTACCACTGAGCAGGAAGATTAAGTATTTTATGTGTTCCTCTTTCCACTAGGAAATAGTTGCCTTCCATGATGGTGCACAGGATGGTGCATCAGAACGTGGCAAGGGAATATATCATATTCAGTCTCCAATATAGCTGATGCTACAATTAAATTTTATAGACCCCTGGTGCATTTGGGCATGATCAGGTCCTTGGAGATCCCTCATTGTTCCTGAACCTAGAACAGCAATATAGACATGATACTACCTGGCCTGTTGAGATAGAACTCAATCCTATAACTGTACTTTGAACTTGCCCTAAACTTTGCATTCTTCCAGAGTCATACTAAACTCTGGGTAAAAGAAGTCAGGGAGTTGAAAGTAGCAGGGAAAGAATCGCCAGGGCCCTATAGCTTCCAGGCCATTTATGTTGTGTGGCTTCTCTGGACCCTGGTCAAGGGGATTCAGGACATCAGCACGCATTTGCTCAGTTAAATTTAGTTGATTGAAAGGTGACACAAAGCCTGGGAAATAGAGGTGAAAGGAGTAGAAATTTCCTACCTGCTTTTTGTTCAGCTTCTCAGTAGTTGATCAGATGGTCATGAATCATATGCATGAATGGTCCAAAAGATCAAAACATCTACTCAAAAAAAGGTGCTCTCTCTATCCAGAATCACCAGCATTAATAAGTTGGTGAAATCTGTTTCAAGTGAAACACATTGTACCAGATGTCCTTGTACCTGTTAGTTACTTTCTCATTGCTGAGACACGATACCCAACACCTGCAAGTTAATGGAGGAAAGGTTTATTTTGGCTCACAGTTTGTGGAGGTTTCAGTCTGTAGTCAGGTGGCTCCAGGGCAGGGTGGCTGGGGAGAAGCAGCTATGGCACACCTGAGGGAAGCAGAGAGGAAGAGAAGAGTGAAGAAGAGATAAACTCTGCCAGGCCATGTCCCAGCAACCCACCTCTTCCAACCAGATCCCACCTCCCAACAGCATGTCATCTATAAGCTCACAGTGGACTGACCCACTGATGAATATCTTACTCCCACAGTCCGCTCATGTCCCCAAAGCCCCACCTCTGAGCTCAGGAGGCTTTGGGGGTACATCTAGATTTAAACCATAATAGTACCTTACAATTGATCTTTGTGGTGACCAGCTTGATAAAAGAGGTCTTTCTATTCCTCTTTTATACTTGGGTTTAGAAGGCTCACAATGTCTTTAAAACATAGCCCAGCACCTCTTTCCAAGTAGAGCTACCATTTGACTCTATGTCTTTCTGACTGATGCCTGTCTTGTCTTTAGCCTCTTTCTCTTCCTGTGTCCAGTGTCCAGGTCACTGGCTGGGCCCCTGCCATTTCCTCCCAAGTCTTTATTCATGAGGCTAACCCTGCTTGTGATTGCTCCTTTCTTGGAAAGACTTGGAGTACAACACACAACTCAACATGTGATTGTACAGTCTTGCTTTCTTGGGTTCTTTCTAGGGTAGGAATCACCTTATATGTTCCTTATATGTTCCCTACAGTGGCTGGATATACACAGCAGGCATTTAACACTGTAAACCATTTTGGCCAATTTGAGGTTTGTCCCTGAACATTGGCTACATCTATCTTGTCCTCCTCTTTACAGGAGTTGGGATTTCTCTTCCACATCCAGTTTAGAATAGTCTACTGTCACCTTTTTTTCTCTCTTTAGCTCCTTGTATCCTAGGCCCAGAGCAATGAGGCCAACTGCAGGGCCCAAGGGAGGGAAGTGGGGTTGCTGCCTGCATGGAGAAAAGTTTTGGGTGGAATCATTTGAAGCTTATACCCTGGAGCCAATGCTGTGCTCAGATTTGCATTATCATGGACACATATCATTTAAAATCCCCAAGCCTGGGTCTCCTCATCCATAAATGCAGAGAGTTTTATGGCACCTTATTAGGTGGTTGTGAAGATTGGATGAAATCATATACAAAAAAGCCTTCAAACCAGTGCATCACACCATACTCTATACATCTGCTATCAAGAAACAGGGAAGGAAGGAGAGAAGGAAGGAAGGAAGGAAGGAAGGAAGGAAGGAAGGAAGGGGTAAAGGAAGGAAAAAAAGAAAACTGTAGGGCAGTGGTGGATACCAGACAGGAGGATCTGGAGGGGGAGCTTTATTGTGTTAGAAGTGGGTTGGTGGTGGTGGAGGTGGTAGAATAAGCTGGGAGAAGCCCAGGAGTGTTTTTTGAGGCACGGACTGCAGGAGGAATTGCTTGGACACCTCCATCCTCATCATTTAGGGTACACCAGTGCCTAGACTTCGAGCCACTGAGTCCCCAGGATATCTGTCAGCATGCCCAGTAACTTTCTTTCTTTTTCTTTGTCTAGTGATCTCTTAATGAGGGACAACCTGTTTGAAATAATAACCAGCTCAAGGACCTTCTACGTGCAGGTAAAATGCTCACTCTGACTGGGCATCTGTGTGAATGGTGAACTAGTAAGCTTTGCCCTTTCCCTGGCTTATCAGTCCTTTCGCTTGAAGTTACGAGATGGTAAATTTAGCCCCCAAGAATCAGTGTGAGTCCCATTTTATTCTAAACAGGATGTTTGCCCAAAGCTTCCCAAGCATAAAAGAGCAAAAGCAGGTCGAGCCACTGTACTGGAGAGTGTACGTTTGCTCTCAGCCACTGGGCTCCAGCTAAGCAGAGAAAAGGAGAACTGGTCAGTGATTTCACTTCTGCTTAGCAGGGTATTTATAAGTCCGTCTGTGTGTGGACATCTCTGTGTGCGGAAGGACAGAAGCACAGAGGGCCCTGTTCTGTGCCAGGTGCAGGGCCAGCTGCACAGAGAAAGCCATTGTGAGGGCTCTGAGGTTCACTTATCGGGAGCTTCTCCCTCCACCCACAGCTCTGGAGCTCTCCCAATGCTCTGAGAGTCTGAGGAGCTGGCAAGGCAGATTTCCAAGCAAGGCGTGCCCATCTAGGGCTGAGTCCCTAGCCCATCCTGCCTGGCAGTCCACAGAGTGCATTGCTTCCCAGGAGTGAGGATGTGGGGTCTCTGGCACCAGAACTCATGCATAGTGTGTTGGCTTCAGTAGGGGCTTCCCAACTGCAACTTCTGGGGATTCCCAGCCCCCTTTCTTCCTCACTGTCCTGGAACCCTGCCTTCCACAGGGAGTTGAGCCTCCTTCCTGTTTCTTGGGCAGCCACTCCTTGTCTCTACTGCCCTCTGCCCGAGCCTAGCAGGTGCGCTGGACAGCTCAGGCACCTGCAGGCCGTGCTTATTCCAACCCATAGTGCCTCCTGCCAGAGATGGCCAAGGGAGGGTTGGGGCAGATGGAGCCGTGGTAAAAAGTTAGTTACTCAGTGGCACCACTACTACTCAGGGACCAGGTGGAACCTGGAGATGCAACAAAGAGTTGCTAGTTCTTACAGTTGATAGCTATTTGTAGAGGTTCCTCAGAGTGCAGGGATGCAGGGTTAAACAGAAGCAATCCTGAGCACAGGAGAGTCTGGCCAACCAGCAAGTCCAAACCATTCAATGGGGTGAGATTGGAAGTGCTGGGTCAGCGGAGCCCAGGGGATTAGCAAGGAGTCGTAACAGCTGCACAGTGGGGTATGACCTTGAACCCTGCTGGACAAAGAGTAAACATTACTAAGCGCAGTTTGAAACAACACGTAGGAGGTCAGAGGACCCTAAGGTGAAATGCAGCATGTGGCAGAGGAATCCAAGTGTAGGAGACTTTGTGGAGATGGGAAGAAAATCTGAGATAGGGGAGAAGGGAGGACAGCGTGTAGAAGGGGAAGGAAAAATGACTAAGGCACGATAGGTATATGTGCCCATTGCCCAAGATGGTTCTAATTATTATCAACACACAAAAAAGAATCCAGGAGCATACATTTTCCTCTAAGTATGAACATCTCTAAAATGTGGCTTTCTAATATCTGATACGGAAATAAAAGAAAATTCTGAATTAATGACTTAGTAAGTATCTGTATCTGAGAAAAGAAGTGAATCCAAATTTTTTACAGGTATAAAACAAGCTCCCCAAATGGGGTGGGGGAATACAAATAAAAACAAAAACAAAGCTGGGTACAGTGGTGCCTGCCTACAGTGTCAGTATTCTGGGAGGCTGAAGCAGGAAGATCACAAGTTCAAGCCCAGCCTGGGCAACTCAGGGACTTAGCAAAACTCTACCTCAAAATAAACAAAAAGGGATGAGAAGGTAGCTCCATGAGAAGGCTGTGGGTTCAGTCCCTGGTACTGAAAAAAAACCTCATAAGACCCCCACAAAACCATGTGATCCGTGTAACTGCTGTTACAGTGAGGACTGTGGCTGGATCCTCCTCAGAAGGGACGAGGGGAGCTCCTTGACAGGGGACATCTCAGCAGAGTCAGTGGGAGGGGCCCGGGCAGGGGGAAGCGTGTGTGACCAGGCCTGGAGACTGGGGCAGTGGTTCTGTCCACCATGTCAGAGCTCTGGCTCTGTCCCAAGAGCCAGTGCCCTTGGTGGTTCCGTGAGGGAGCAGCTAGCCAGATTTCCTTCCAAATGTGGTGCTTAGACTTGGGCACGTTATTTAACTTTCCCGGCTTTGTGTTCTTCATGGGTGAAGCAGAGATGAGAAGCTCGACTCCAGCCTTCTGTGGTACTGTGTGGAACTCTGGTCTGGGCAGCACAGAGGGCAGAGGAGAGAAGGCCTGGTGTCTGGGGCAGGCCAGAGGTAGAGGGAGCTGAACTTGCACAGAGGAGGGAAGGGGAAATGTAAAGTTATTAAAGGGATCGTTTGGGGTTTTTGAAAGGAGAACAATATAATATAGGACACATTTTTATTTTATAAGACTATTTTATAATAGTCACCCAAAGAATCATATACAAAGAGTACAGGAAATCTGTCCACACAGTAAAGACCAAAGAATCCAGCTGAGGGCTTGGGTCCATGCCAGTGTCCTGCATGAGTCCAGCTGAAGATGTAGAACCCATAACAGTGCCTCCCACGAGTCCAACTGGAGGCCTAGAGCCCATGGCAATGTCTCATGCAGGCCTGTTTCATGGATCTGCATTGGGAAGGCCCAAAGATCAGTGGTGGAAGCTAAAAAGTCTGTGCCAGCGGGATGAAGGATCTGTGCCAGTAGGTTGAGGGATCTGCACTGCAGCCAGAAGGTGACACTCAAAGTAAGAACCAGGGCTCCCCCAAAAAGTACCACAGCCATCTTCAGCAACAGTGAGGTCGGGAGCTCCTTCAATGATGAGGAAAGCTGAGTTCCCATCAAGGAAGCCAACACGACAAGCTTCTCAGGAGACTGAGCAGTGCACCATCTTCCCCTCCAGAGCTAGGGAGTGATGCTCAAAGTGAGGACCAGAGCTCCCCTAAAGTGAACTGAAGCCACTCTCAGGGACAACAAGGTCCCAAGCTCCTCAGACGATGAGAATAGCCAAGTTCATCAAGAAGCCAGCATGACAAGTTCCTCCAAGAGGACCAACAGCTCCTTACAGCTTCTAACAGCACCCAATGGCTTATACCAGCTCCCAACAGCCCCTCTCAGCTCCCACCAGCCTTTCTTCTTCTTCTCCAGTTCTACCTCTTGCGCTGCTGGCAACAGTCCTCAGGTGGGCCTCCCACACCCGACATCACACTGATTCACTTCAGCTGGGTATTATAAGTTAACCATCAGTTGTCAGTTCACCACAGGATCGCTTCCCAGGAAAAAGTGAGAATCACCTGGGGGAAGGGAGAGAGTAGAGGCAAGGCTAGCGCTGGAGTATTTGGCCTGTGCCTCACGGTGGCTGGTGGTGCCAGTCACCTCTGTGGAAGCATAGACAGGGGGCAGCTAGAGTGAGTCCTGACTTCTGGTGCCTGTGGGAAGACATCCAAAGGGACAAGCTGTGCTGACTACTGGTTAGGTGATGCTTGACATGATAGTGATTCTGAGTAAATACCTATCAAGTGGTGACAGTGCTGGCTAAGAGCTCAGGAGAGGCCCTGAGATGAAAGATAGTGATTTGGGAAACCAGAAACTCAGCCAAAAAATGTGCAAGAGACATCGCACTATGTGCATGAGTGTATCTGCACTTTCCAGAAGTCTCTCCTCACTTTCACCTTCCTTTCCCCTCTGGAATAAAAGGGCTCTAACATCACCCTGAATAAGTAAATGAGTGAAGGGTCAGATCTGTTGATAGCACCTAATTCAAAGTCAGTGAGAAGGAAGAAGAGGTTATAGATTTTAAAATGTATTCATGAATATACAGACGAAAAATATATAGAAAATAAACAGCTCATTGAAAATAGCATCTATAAATTCACGTTAGCAAGCTACATTATTGTGAAAAATAACTATTTCTATAAAATAGCAAGAAGAGTAGTAATGTTTCCTATGCATCTCTAATGGCTGCGTCGTAGAAGACAACAGGGTTTTCTTATCCACCTCTATTGTTTCTGTGGCCATTTCTTTGGATTGAAGGAAATGAAAATCTGGCCTCAGACAAATAATGTATTTGAAAAAAAGAGGAATATTTTAATGTTTTTAGTTAATTATGGATAGTCTTCAATTCTGTATCAAAACTTAACAGATAGTAATTTCTTAATGTTTAGGTGAAATGTAGAATTTGAAACCATATCAATAAACTTTCAAACTCTTACATTAAATCCAGTGGCCCCTTCTGCACTTTGAATAGATACTTTTTACCCATGTGTGGTTTCATAACCAGCTGCATTGATCATTTGGAAAATACTGGTCTTATTGAGGTATGCATGTCTTCCAAATGTTGACACATTATATTACATAATACTTAAAAAGTCACATTCATTAAGTCAGCGTCACTCGTTAGCAGTACCATTACGTATGGAAAGTTGTTGAGCTCATGAAGGTATTGACAAATTTTCTGAAATTCTAATTTTTGTTTTGAAAGCTCAAAGTTAACCACTGGCAAAAAAAATACAGGCATGATTTTTCCCTTGACATTACCGGCTTGTCCATTCATTGTTGAAGAAAAAGGAAAAAGGTCTGCCAAATAACTGCACCTGAAGAAGTGGTACCGATAGTTTGTTATGTCACTCATTTGTCCTAAGTCACTCCTGTTTCATTCAAAGAGAGAAAAAATGTGACTGCTTATATACTTCGGTGCTGAAATTTTACCCAGCATGTGAAAGTGGAGTTCTGACCCGCTTCCTAAGTTATACTCAAGTACATCTAGCCAGAAAGACCCTAGGCACAGAAAACAGCTCTGTAGACAGAGGAGAGGCTACTTGGGTATTGGTCATTTAACCTACGCGTCACATTTATTATGTAAACTTTGTACCATATGATCTCTCACATTGTATTAGTCTTTGCTTTTAATAAGAAGCAGAGCCATTTATTGGACACATAGATGCTCCAGGCACAGTGCTAAGCAGCTTAACAGGCAGCATATCACTTAACTCTCAGCAGTCTCTGAATTCATCTCCACTTTATACACAAGGAAAGTCTCTGAAGGTCAGGTATTTGTCTGAGATCCTAAGTCCAGTAAGCTATGGAGCTGACTGGGAGGTACCAGGTGCTGCAGCAAGAGTTGCTCAGGTGTGTTATTTATGAGCAGCGTGAGCCAGAACCTAAGAAGAAGAGGCTGTGGTTACAGGGGAAGGCTGACTCTTAGCAGGGAATACTGCCTTGGGGTACCTGGGAATCTTGGCAGATGGACCATGGTGACCAAAGACCCATGGTCTGGCAGTAATCAGGCATGGAAGCAGGTGGGAAGGTCAGTGTTACCAGCAGGCTTGTGAGAGGGAGGCAGTTCTCAGTTCTGTGCTGGGTTCAAAGTGAGATTTCAGTCCTGGAGATACAGGCTGGCAGGGGCCAGCGTTTTCTCAATCACAGAGCATCTGGGCGTACTAGGGAGTTTATAAACGTGGGATCAGTTCACCAAAATGAGAAATATAGTCCGAAATTGTCTTGGTAACTTGGATCAGCCCAGTTATCAGAGCAAGAGTGGCCATAAAAGACGAGTTGCAGCGTTTAGATGTACACAGCTCTGGATATTTACTCCTTTAGACCACAGGGTAAATAATGTCACTTAGAAGTATGTTGTGCATTGTGTGCACGGTGACACGTAGCAAAGCTACTTGTATCTGAAGCTGTAATTGGTTCTTGGGAAGAGGATATTGGTGATCTTCTGTTGGGATATGTTGGCTGCAGACATTGGAAATAGAAGGAAGGAGGAGCTGCCTACAGATTTAGGACAGGGACATATATTGGGCCACTTTGATTGCAACTCCATCACTCATTGCTTCCAGCCATTGCATCTGTTATAGAGCAGGGTTCAGGGCAGATACACAGTAAAAGGTCATTGGGCTGCAATACAGCTACAGACTGAAATGACTCATTTTAATACCCTTGTCCCTCTCATCTCAAATATTGCCCTCGAGGATAGAAACCCTACTTTTTTTTGAACCCAGCTCCAAAAAGAGAGGAAGGTATGAGTTTGGCATTTCACTTTCTGTTCTACCTAATTTTAAGCACTTAATAATTCATCATGGGATGGGTGAACTGAGCTCTGTTTTTTACCTCTGATTCATGAAACTACCTTGTGATGTGGCTTTAAGATTTTTTTTTAGATTTTGATGAAATTTAAACATGGGTTTTCCATACAAGAAAGATACACCATAATTTTTGCATATAATTTTTGGTTTTATGGAATTTATGTTGCCCGCAAACTGGGTACCAGTTCTTAAAACTACTAATAGAGATTGTTACTGTGATCTCAATAAAATAGTATTTTCCTTCCCATATGGAATTAAATGCAATTCCTGCTTTTCCGTTTGAAATTTTTTTTCTTTTTTCAGTGCGGGGGATGGAACCCAGGGCCTCGTTCATGCTAGGCAAGTACTCTATCACTAGGCTACATCTCCTGGCCTTTAAACATCTTTTATTTTGAGACAGAGTTTCACTAAGTTGCCCAGGCTGGCCTTAAACTTGTGTTGCTCTTGTCTCAGACTTCTAAACAGCTGGGACTACAGTTGCATACAACCATAGCTGGCTGAATAATTTTTTTTTTTTTTTTGCAGTACTGAGGATTAAAATGAGGGTCTATGCATTGAGTTACATCCCCAGCTTTTCTTTTACTCTTTATTCTGAAACAGGACCACACTAAGTTGTTTAGTTTCCCAGAATGGGCTCGAATGTGCGAGCCTCCTGCCTCAGCCTCCCAGAATGCTGACATTGTGCATGTGTGCCAGCATGCCTGGCTGAATAATATTTTCAGATGTTACTCTAAAATAATGGTTAAACTACTAACAGAAATTGTTATGATTTGTATACAAGAACATTCTGCTTTCCATATGGGCTCAATTGCAGTATCTACCTTTCTGTTTGAAATATGTGCATACGCATGGTTCTGTTTTTTTGCTTGTTTTTGGTGCTGGAGATTGAACCCCTGGTAAATGTACTCTGCCACTGTGTCCCAGCCCCAGTCCAGTATCTGACATAATGGGGAGGTTCCTGGGGTGGTGGGAGGTACTCTTCACACATCCCTGGAAACAGATTGCCTGAGGATTTTCCAATTACTTAACGAAAATGTCAGATCTAGTGTGAAATGGAGATTTTTTTTTCCTTCCTGAGTGCCTATCTCTGTCTTTCTGTCTTTTTCTCCTTTCTTCTTCTTGCAGTGCTAGGGGTACCACCCAGGACCTCACACACATTAGACAGGAGCTTTGCCCCTGAGCTGTACCGCCAGCCCCTCCGTCTTCTAGCATCCTCCTAGCAGATCATCTGTGTTTCCCCTCTATCCCATTCAAATCCACAATACCCTTTCCCCACTTCAAGTACGTTATTCTCTGGATCCTCACACCTTGATCCTTTGTGGCAGGATTTATATGCAGTTGGAGGAAAAAAGGTCTCAAAGAAAGGACAAGGAACAAATCTGCCGTGGTGGAATTTAGGCTGCACTTGCTTCCTTTGTATCATATAGGAATAGTAAATAAAACAACAATGATACTTACAGAGCCCCTTGCTGGGCATGGTGGTACACACTTGTAATACTTGCTCTCTGGGGACCTGAGGCACGAGGATTGGAAGTTTGAGCCCAGCCTGGGCAACTTGGTGACTTAATGAGATGCTATCTCAAAAGTAAAAAGAGCTGGTGATGTAACTTAGTGCGAAAGCCCTAGGTCCCATCCGTCGCACCACAAGACAAACACAAAATCTTATACCCAAAGCACTTCTGTGTAGGAGGAACTATTCAAACCACTTTACCTAATGGCTATAATTCTCCCAGAAGTTCTACCTGTGAGACAGCCTACCCATGATATTAGTAAAGTACCTTCTGGGAGGATCTTGGAGACTGAATCTTGGCTTTTTGGACTAGGGATGGATTTGTCCTTTCTTAGGAAGCCGTCAGATCATCCAACTGGGAAGAATCAAGGGGAGCAAGTGTCAGTCAAGTCATCAGATACAGCACACGTGAGAGGTGTTGACCTTGGGTGCTTATGCTGCACACCTTCTGATCTGGCATGCCAGGATACAGAACTGTTTCCTTTGAGATTGTCTCCCGCGCACGTCTAACCCAGAAGGGTTTATTTTGGGGTGAAAGGAAAGGGCAGGGATGCAAGTTTGATGATTAAAAAAAAAAAACAAAAAACCCAAGCTGGTCATATTTTCTCCTGACAGAATGCAGAGATGGTGTCCTTTTGGGGATGGAGAAAGTAGGGGGAGGGTGGGCTGGGATGTGGTGTTTGTACACACACCTGCACATACATGCACATGAATGCTTGTATGTTTGGAGGGAACTCAAGACAGTGCCAGAGGACAGAGGAGACGAATGGCAGGGACTTCTTGAGGTCAGGGATTCGCTCTGGGTCCCACCTCTGTGGCTGACATCTGCTGTAACCTGCAACCCTGAGAAGGGTCCTCAGTAAACATCTGCAGAGCTCAGCTTGAACTCCCTCTACAGCCGCAGCTCACAGCGCCTAGGCCTTGTGATCTTCCTGCCTTCCTCACAGAGCTGCTGCTGCCCTCTGCTGGGGGAAACACGTTTACTGTGCAGCGCTGTCCCGTGTATTTCTCAAGCTTAGCTTTTCAAGGACCTGCAGCAACCGAGGCCGGAATGATTTTCAGGGCAGACCAGATAGCTTGTGCTTTGAGAAAAGCCCTGTTTCTGAAGATAAAATATGTGATCACACATACATGAGAGGGAGTTAATTTTAAGGGAATTAAAGGTGAGATTATCTGTTCAGATAGTGACACAGTGGAAAGATGATGACGTTGGGAGTGAGTGAACTCAAATCCAGACCAGCCATGAGCCATGAGCTTTGGCCTTTGGGGCCTCAGTTTCCTTTTTTTTAAAACCAGGAGGTTAGACTAGTCCCGTTGTTTTCTGGAAGGGGTGAGGGGCGTCAGCAGGATGAGGCACTAAACCCTTGCCCTTCCTCAGATCAGCTGAGGAGCTCTGTGAGCTGTTTTATTTATTGAGTGTCAAATAAGATATTGCAGGAAAAAATGTCCTCAAAAGTCAGCAAGCCACTGGACAACATGATTTCCAAGATCCCTTCCAACTCTAATATTGTGACTCTATGAACTTAAAGTTGAGTCAGAAACTTGAAAGCTGAAATCACAGTGCCAAAAATCTCTCTGTAAGCGCCATGGATGTTTTGCAGGCGGACAGCCCAGAGGACATGCACAGCTGGATTAAGGAGATTGGGGCAGCTGTCCAGGCCCTCAAGTGCCACCCCAGAGTAAGTCAGTCACTTCCTTCCTGTGCTGCAGTGTCGACTGAGAGATAAATTCTCCTTCAGCAGATGTGTTTTATTTGGTGTTGTAGGCAAGCAGCCCAGGATTTACATGCAGCTGAAGCCACAGGCTGACTTGTTTTTTTCTCTTTTTAGTAATTTGGGTACACATTTTTCTTTTTCTTTTTTTAGATAGTGCAGGAGGTGAGACAGGGTTGGACAGAGACGTGGAGTTTCTGATGTGGCTTACAAGTCTCACTGCTGAGCAGACCCTGACTCATGTGGAGTGAATTCTGCCATACTTTTATTTATTTTTGAGATAGGGTCTCACTGTGTTGCCCAGGCACACAGGGATCCTCCTGCCTCAGCATCCTGAGTAGCACATGCCACAATGCCTGGCTTTGCTGAAAGTGTTCAATTTTTTATAGACAGCTGTCTCTGAACCTCGGAGGTAGTGATCTTGGGTGGGTACTCTTCCTGGGACTTTGAGAAAACATTGACCTTTACTTTCCTTTGTCTTTCTTCTTTTTTGTTTCTAGGAAGTGTCTTTTTCTAGATCCATTTCTTTGACTCGACCTGGAAGCTCCAGCCTCACAGGTGGGCCTAACTCTGTCTTATGCCGAGGGCGGCCACCTGCAGAAGACAGGAAAGCCCTCTGCAAAGCCCCCTCGATGGCCTGCTCCTGGCAACCTTGGACACCTGTCCCCCAGACTGGGGAAAAGCTGCTACCAGCAGAAGAGACTCCAGAGGACTCTCTGTTCCTACCCCAACTTGCAAAGAGCAGTATCGCTGGGGTGGTGCCAAGCTCCCGGATAAGGCACAGATCAGAGCCCCAGCACACCAAGGAGAAGCCATTTCTGTTTGACCTTGATGATGAAAGCATACGGACCTCTGATGTGTGATGAGGCACAGTGCATGGGAGGGGAGGGAGAGAGGGAGGGAAGGCTGGACAGAAGGTGGCCAGGACTCAGTTTCCCTGCAGATCAGAGGCCTTTGTGGTGCTTGTATTCCTGTGGATGTACTATGGAGGGTCCATGCAGCTGGATTTTCTGATATTATCAGTGCAGTGTATTAATTTGGGAAAATTACTAGGTTTGACCTGTAGAGTCTTCTCAGCAGACACTGTGCTGCCCCTTGTTGGACTTTTCCAAGATCTTTCTGGTGGGGGGTTGATTTAGCATCACCTCTCTAGAAGCAGTGTAGAGTCCAGTTATTCCTCTAGCCAAGTTCCATGTCCTTGTCCTTGTTTTAGTTTTTTCCTTTTGTTTCAATCGAAGCATGGAATCTTAGGCCAGTCTCCTGGTTTCATCCTGTTCCTGTTACTTGGCCGAAGTCTGTGAAGCAGGAAGGTGGCAGCTAACCCAGCTGAAAGGAGTCGAGGTAGAAGAGACCCAGGCCCTGGCTGGGCTGGGGTCCACTCCAGGAGGTAGTTGAAATCTTAGCGGTGGATCCTCCAGGAGACTCCCAGGGAAAGAGATGGGTGTCTTGTGTGAGGTATGGGGAATAATTCAATGCAGTGCATCAGCTGGTTTGGGAAATTACTCTGTTTTCCTTTTGATGATCTGTAACCCCCCAGTGCTATGAATGTGGGTGACAGACTACCAGTCCAGTGGCTGTGTCCAACCCCAGGGTGGGCTTATCAGTGTTAAGTGCTACAACTGTTGGGAGCAGAACAGACATTTCCTTGATATGGTGTTATTTGAAATGTGTGGAGGGCTAGTGAGTGTGTGATAATTCATGTATGTGATAATCTCAGAGTTTTAGAATAGCTTTAAAAGAGATGCTGAGAAGAGATGGATGATGGTTTGTCCTGCTAACCTTTTTAAATCCATGTTTTCCCAATAGGAAAAAAGTTCTGGTCTTTTTGAATGAACCATTGGTCTGATATTAAGTGCTGTAGATCATATACCCTGGCAGATTTGCTTTCTATCCTTTGTGTTGCACATTGAATGCAGCTCTGTGTGCTTGCATGATCAAAACCTGTACTTAGCAGTGGGGAGATACAAAGATAGCCTTGTAATATTTATATTCTTCAGTGGAATAGAGACTGGGCATAACAACGTTGATTTAAAGGTTCTAACTTGCTAATGAGAGATTTCGCAGGCAGAAGAGCATAGGAGATTGCACCCATATGGGTTTCCTACCCGTATTCTGGGGTGTGCCTTCTCCCTTTGGACAGGCACAATTTCCAGAGCCCTTGGGAGCATTTATCTATCCAGCTTCTGCAGTGACTTGCTATCAGAAACTTATGAGGGCTTCCTAAAAGGAGACAGAACTTAGCTCATTACTATCTGTAATTTTTACTTGTTAGATCAATTAACTATATTTTAAATTAAAAATTAGTGACTAGAGGAAGAGACTAAGAGAAGCATTTGCACCTAGGCAAATCCCTGATCCTTTTTATGTCCACATCTGATACACAGGTGAAAACTCGATGATAGGGTCATTTGTGTTTGCAGGGAAGCACGTTTCTTCTGGGCTGCATGGCCGTTGAAGTATGGGTCACACGGAGCTGTTTCTGCCTTCATTGCACTGAAGTGCTCCTTCACTTAAGTTTGGCCTATGGTCCTGGTCTTAAAAAGAAAGTCTACTGGATCTCACCCTCTATCACTATCCATTTTCCCTCTCTCTTGTGTACTTTTGTCCTCAGAAATTCTTAGTTTGGGAATTATTTATTTATGAGTGATCAAGGTTACAACCTACTTTAAGTAACCTGATTTTAAGAAGCCATTCCAAATTCCTAAAACCCTTTGTCTCTGGTTGCACCTTCCTATTTTTCTCCCCCAAAAAACTTCTTGAACTAACCAACAGAAGTGGGCATCATGCAACGTGGATGTGATGAAAATAAACTAGAAACTTTTGAAATCTCTTTAAACATTCCCTGACTCATGGAAATGATGTCATTTCATGTTTAAATTGTGAAAATCTCTCTCTCTCTCTCTCATATATTCTGCTAATTAATTGGCTATTATAGTGAGCTGTTAGGTTTCTTATTCAGCAAGGTCTATTTTAAGAGTATGTTAAATTAAAAATAATCCAGCCTGTATTAGTGAAGGGGAAACAAGGACTCTAACAAGCAAATACTTGGACATACCAAGGTGGAACATAGTTAATTTTGTTCTAATATCACAAAAGTATGTTTATCTTCTTTGAAACCAAAAACATATACATTCCTAATCTTATATCAGAATTTCTTTTCTGTCCATATTGCTTAACCTTCTGACCAATTTTAAACCACTGTCTTTTAAAGTGAGCCAAAGATGGTGCACAGATAACTGAAGAATTTGCTTTTAGTTATATGAAATGGAATCAAATGGAAGAAATAAGAAAATAAAATAGGGATACAGGATAGGTGAGTGGTTAAGAGCATAGGTTCTGGAATAAAAACCAAGTTAAAAAAAAAAAGAACTGAAAAAGATACTGCATTTTCTTTGTGGAATGAAAACCATGTTTGAATCACTCTTTCCATAATTGTTCTGAAGTGGTCACAGGCCTGGGTGCAACAATATTCCAGGTGGGCTTCTCCTTAGGGGAACTACTTACCATCTGTTCTTGAAAACTGATACACTTGCTTGCTCAAGGGCAAGTGATGGTTGGAGAAAATAGTTTGCCTTTTGCTTTCTATGAGACATGAAAAGTAATCAGGAGGTGTACACTCTGGACAGCGGCCTCAGGTCACAGTAGTAGAATTACACCTGTTTCTGACTAGAATGCTGAGCTCCTGTGAGAAGTAGAGTTAAGGTCCAGCTTCTCAGTTTACTGGGAGCAAATTAATTTTTTCCTTTCTGAATATAAATGTTCTTGCTATGGACTGAAATGACCTGATGTGTAATAGCGGATTTAGTAGTTGAGCAATGCAATTTGATAGGTTTGTTTTTAGTGTTAACCAGATAAATAGGCATATGGCAGTGTTAACTGCATTTTGGAAATTAGGTTTCCCAAATCAGCTTTGTTTGTTAACTTTGAACATGTCAGAAATGGGCATGTTTATTAAATATTTTCTACCAACATCTTTTTTTCTCCTTAGACCTGTTTTCTCTCTTTGCTATGGCCTGTCACTCATGCTAGGTAGAGTCTGAATAAAGCGAGTGTTAGGCAAAAACATGCAGTTTGAGCCCTTCCCCATCCGCTTGCCCTTGGTTTTGAATCAGTAGGTTTCAGCTGTGAAGAGCCTTGCTCTGAGTCCTGAGCTGAGTGCATGGAAACTTAGGCTTCTCATTTTCTGTGATCTGCTAATTGGTATGTAGCAAAAATAATTTTCTAAAACTGTTTTGTTGCTTGTTTTGTAATAAAACCAGTGCTGAAATATGGTTGTGTGTTTTTCTAATGTGACCTTCTGGCCGTGGGTGGATGACGGCTCCTGTCACTCTGCCCGTTATGGGTTTTAGGGTTTTTTGCGAGGTAGGGCCCTGCTCAGGATGGGGCTCGGGATTTCTCTGTTGGGGGTGGCCCTGGGCTGGGGCTGGACGGGCATTGGGGGAGGTATGGGTGTGCGGGTGGAGACGCATGCCAGGCTCTGCCCCTTATAAGTCTGGGGCTGGCACCCCTGCCAGGAAGAAGTGTTGCTCACTTTAGACCAGTTTTGAGCTCAGAGAAGTAACTGGAGAAGCAGCAGAAGAGCACGATGAGTGGACCTCGGCTGCAGCCTAGGCTCAGGCTTGGACAAGTCCTCCTGCTGTGGCTGCTGCTGCCCACGGCGCCCATGCCCGGCGTCCAGGCCCGGAGGTCTAGGGCCTCGATGCCCTGCCCCGCAGCGTGCGAGCCGACGCGCTGCCCGCCGCTGCCCACCTGCTCGGCTGGCGCCG